CATAAGTGACGATGGCACCAGGAATGTCAGATGAGGTGAACAGATCAGTCATGATGGACGAGAGGAGTTGTATGGTAAAAAGGGAATGACGAGATGAAGACAGGGATGATGGATTATATAAGAAAAAAAGGAAGATGAAAAACTGCATTAATAAATTTTTGAAATAAACAATAAATGGAAAGTCTAAACAATAATACATGAACAATTAACATGAAAACAAGAAAGACATAAATGACGCATCACGCATGCATTGGACTATAAAGAATAAATACAAGGATAGAGAAGAGCAGAACCTGGTTCAATGAATGTTCTGAATGGAGTGCAGCTACTGCAAACCAAGTTCGTGACAGAGAAGTATGAATCATTCAGAAGCAGGAGCTTTGGTAAAAATGTCTGCAATCTGAAATTCGGTGGAAATGAATTCTAATACTATATGTCCAGCTTGAATGATATCTCTAATGAAGTGATGTTTGACTTTGATATGCTTGGTTTGACTGCGGTGAATCGGTTTTTTTGACATACATATCGCGCTAGTATTGTCGCATAAAATAGGAATTTTCACATACTTAGACCATGGTCGAGCAATTGAGACTTTAACCAGAGAATCTGAGTGCAACAACTGCCAGCAGCAACATATTCTGCCTCAGCAGTTGATAAAGAGACAGAGCCTTGTTTTTTGCTAGACCATGACACAAGAGAGAAACCAAATATTGGCAAGTGTCACTGATACTTTTCCTGTCGGTAATACTTCTAGCAAAGTCTGAGTCAGAGTATCCACGTAGTGAGGAAGAACCATGAAAAAATCCCAAAATACACAAGTTTTTTTTTTTAAATTCCCAAATACACACGTTTTATGAAAATTCTCAATCTGCACAAGTTTGGGCATCACCGTGGCCGTCAACCGCGGTGATGCATTCACCACTTTAGTCTATTGCGGTGAATGCATTCACCGTGGTTGACGGCCGTGGTGAAGGCTTCACCGCATTTGTCGGCTGCGGTGAAGGCTTGACCTAAGGCTGAAACTTCAAACCAGCATAACTTGCGCTCGGTTATCCGATCGTAGTGCAAGTTTTTTTTTTATTCCGCATAAATTTTCAAGATCTTTCAATCTGCAACCCGCCTTCATCCCAAAAAAATGTCGTTTACTACCCCGAACCGGCAATTTTTCGATTTTGCCAAAGTTTGGAAGACCATAACATTTTGCTCCTCAATCCAAAAGTCATAAAGTTTTTTGGATTGCGCATAACTTTTTAAGAACTACAACTTTTACTAGGAAAGAATTTTCAAAACAAGAAATATTTTGGATATACGGGATTTTGGGAATAACTTTGCCTTTACTTTTCACAAATCCACATACATTCCAACATTATGGTTAGGGTCAAAGTTGTAGTCCTTAAAAAGTTATGCAAAATAAAAAAAAGTCTCATGACATTCGGATTGCGGAGCACAAAGTTATGGTTTCCAAAGTTTGTCGAAACGCAAAATTGCTCGTTCGGGGTAGCAAACGAATTTATTTCTGGGATGAAGGATGGTTGGAGATTGAAAGATCTTCAAAAGTTATGCAAAATAAAAAAATTTCACTATGATCGGATAGTCGAGCGCAAAGTTACGGTAGTTTGAAGTTTTAGCCTTAGGTTAGGCCTTCACCGTTGCCGACAGACGTGGTGAAGCCTTCACCACGGCCGTCAACTACGTAGCGGTGAATGCATTCTCCGCCGTTGCGACCGCGTTGATTCCCAAACATATGTAGATTGGAAATTTTTCATAAAAAGTGTGTATTTTGGAATTTTTTTAAAAAAACGTGTGTATTCTGGGGAAAGATTCGAAGAATCAGACCTAGGATACCATAGACCAAGATCAAAGGTTCCCTTCAAATATCTAAAGATTCTTTTAACAACATTAAGGAGACTTTCCTTTGGAAGGTTTTGAAATCTAGCACATAGGCAGACACTGAATTGTATATCTGGTCTATTAGCGGTTAAATATAACAATGACACGATCATTCCTCTATACTTTCGTTCACAAATATTTTCCCCATCTAAATCATAATCCAGATGAGTATTTGAGGCAATGGTAGTTTTGAATGGGCTGACACTCATTAAATCAAATTTCAAATTTGGACAACATAGACTAAAGATATTTGGTTTGATGAATAAAAATACCTGAATTAGTTTGGTGAATTTGCAGTCCAAGAATTTAGGTTAATTTGCCCATAAGACTCATTTCAAATTGGCTTTTCATGGAGGAGCATAATTCAACACACATATTAGAATCGGTACTTCCAAAAACTATATCAACAACATAAACTTGAACAATCATAGAATGTTCCATTTTGTGTTTAATGAAAAGGGTTTTGTCAACACCGCCTTGACTGAATCCTTTGAGATCAGGAAAGAAGTCAATTTTCCGTACCAAACTCGTGGAGAAGATAGTTTATAGACATGGTCTGGAAACTCAAAACCAGTGAATCTAGTAGGTTGTTTAACATATACATCCTCCTTGATTTCACCATTTAAAAATGCACTCTTTACGTCCATTTGAAAAAGTCTGATTTGCATATGACTAGCATAAGCACAAAGAAGACGAATAGATTCAAGTCGAGCAACTGGCGCAAAGGTTTCGTCGTAATCAATGCCCTCCTCTTGATTGTATCCTTGGGCGACTAGACGAGCTTTGTTTTTTATAACGCAACCAAGTTCATTATACTTGTTCTAAAAATCCATTTTGTCCCATTTACAGTAATGTTGATAGGTCTAGGCACAAGTTCACAAACATTTAATCTAACATAATGAGATAGCTCTTCTTGCATAAAAATAACCATTCTTCATCAAGTAAGGCCTCCTTATACGATTTTGGTTCAAGTAAAGGGACAAAGGCATACTGACCTAGGGTATACTTACATCTGGTACGAATGGGATCCATTAGTTCACCTATGATTTGCGACGAAGGATATCTTTTTTTATGTGTGCTGGCACTTCAGGGACTTCATTGAGGTTGTCAGCTTGAGTTGATGAATATGATTCTCTGGAAGGTTCAGTATGGTTGGAGGAAGTTTCTTGTTGTTTGGGAGAAGAAGATACAGAACCTGTCTCAGAAGGATAGCTAATAGGCAGGAAGTCATAATTATCAATATTAGGGTTCAATGGAAGAGATGGAAGGGATGAATAAAAACAAATATGCACGGATACTTCCACTTTTCTGGACCTTTTATTGAAAATTCTGTAAGCTTGACCCTTACTTGAGTAACCAAAGAAAATGCCAACATCAAACTTTGCATCAAACTTACCAAGTGAGTCCTTGGTGTTAAAGATAAAGCATTTAATTCCAAAAGGTTTAAAAAGGACAGTTTAGGAGACTTCCCTTTCAAAATTTAATGAGTCTTGTTGATCAACTAAAGAATAGTAGTACGATTGATAACATAACAAGCTATATTTACAACTTCTGCCCAAAGAAATTAGGACACTTATATTTTAGAAGCATTGTTCGGGCAGTTTCAATGAGAGTTCGATTTTTCCTCTCCACAACACCATTTTGTTGTGGAGTTCTAGGAGCTGAAAAGGTATGAAGAATACCATGATGGTCACAAAAGTTACAGAATTCACCACTGATAAACTCACCACCATTATCGTTTCTAATGCTTTTTTACCAAGCAATCATATTGCTTTTTCATCAGGACTACAAAGGACTTGAATTTAGAGAAAGCTTCATCTTTTAAAGCAAGAAAATGTACCCAAAGTGAATCTATAAAAGTCATCAACAATAACCAGCACATAGTACTTTCCTCCAAGACTTTGAATATTGGTGGGACCAAATAAATCCATGTGTAAAAGTTCAAATGGAGATGCTGCAGTAACATCCTGTTTACTTTTGAATGATTTCTTACAGTGTTTTTCGAAGATGCAGGCTTCATAAATGAAGTTTTTGGATGCTATAATAAGAGGCCTCTAACAAGATCAAGTTTTGAAAGTTAAGCAAGACGTGACGTACATGTGACCTAATCTTCTATGCTAGGTTGCTACAGACTCTGAAATAGAACTTAGAAAGATGTCCTCATAGAGGTCTAAGAAGGTGGATAAAACAACAATGTAAACATTATTGATTTTCTTTCCTTTCAAAATTTCAGTATTATCTTAGATGCGTTCAATAATGCAGCAAGATGGATCAAATATAGCACGGTAAGTACTTCCACATATTTGACTAATAGAAAGTAAATTATATTTTAGAGCTTTAATGAACAAAACGTCTTCAATAATAAGAGAGGAATTGCTGCAAACAGCTCCTTTATCAACTATTGAAGTACAATTGTTATTACCGTAAAACATTTACCTCCCCTTTTAGGATTGAGATACGAAAAGAGATTTTTGTTACCCGCCATGTGATGAGAACATCCAGAGTCCAAGTACCAGACATTTTCACCATCTTTATTATGAAAGAGAAAACTAGTTAGAAGTTTTAGCAACCCAAACAAGTTTGGATTTTTCCTTTTTGAAGTAGCATTTCTGGCTGGAATGACCATATTTTCTGCAATGAGTTCATAATGCATGGTAATAAGAGGGTTGAAAATGCTGGAAGTTTGCATGCTTATTCCTATGATAATGATAGTAGTTATTTTTAAGCATGTTTCTGATATGGAATGAATGGTATAAGTATGACTTTTTACAAAGTTTCTTAATTTCTCTTTTCGGCTTTATATTTTCTTTAGTAAGATGAGCGATTTGCTTATCTTGCATAGTTTGAGCCGTTTGCTGAACTTCTACTAACTGTTGTAGCCTTTCATTTTCCATATTTTTCTCATAAAGTTGAGAAACAGTGAGACGATACTTTCTTTTCAATAAGTTGCATTCATTTTGAAGGTAGGATAAAGCATGTAGAAAGAAATCATCAGTCTGAGTTTCAAGAAGAGTTTCCAGAGTGTACTTCTCAGAGTTGTTGTCAAACCCATTAGGAGAGTTTAGTCACATGAAAGCAAACAATCTCAGGACTATTCAGTTTATTAGGCGGCACCTGTGGATTGGGAAATAAGAACAATATTAGGCGGCACCAAAGAGCAACAAAGGCCTGAAATTTCTCTCTGTCCTCTATACTGGTTCTCTTTGCTCATCATAACTACTTTGGGATCCATATTGGTCTCATGTTAACCTTTTAGATTTTACAAACACAGAAAACTAATCAAAAGAAAGTAAGGCAAGTTCCAGATTCTCATTACTGTATACCTTATTGTATTCCTCCATTCCTCTACTTGCAACATCAGAAGCTCAGTATAAACATCCTTCCTCTAGCAAGTATTTTGTACCTCTAGCAAGTAGTATAACAGATGGAATATTTTGTTGATTGTTAATTGCATCTTCTGAATTCTCTACTGCCAACTTGAATGAAGATTTCTCCCACCCATCCTTTCCATTATTATGCAGGGGATAAATGAGCAAACTAAGATTCATTACATAACTAATTCATTACCTCGGCTAATATATTCTTGTGGTTTTTAGTATAGAATATAATTTGGACTTCTAAGCTGCAATTCAGAAGCAGTTGCTCAGTACCCAAGTTTTGGAGTGAGCAAAGTGGTCCTTTGCATGGTTCAATTCAATATCATCATTCACTGCTCTGCCATTCTACACATAACAATTGGAATTTCAAAAATATCGATTATATCAACAGATATAATAATAGAGTTGAAAGAAAGTCGGACAAACAATTACGAGGGTACGCTAAGTGTGGGTAAAAGTAAACAAATGCATTCAGAATGGTAGGACGCCTTTGATTTAACAGCACCAGAATAAAGAAGCATTTAAAGATCAAACACGTTTGTTTCATACTTGAGAAGCATAACCCAATAAAGGGATCTAATGATCGTTTACGTACTTTTAGAAATGGTAGAAGGAGCAAAAGGCAATTGAGGAGGAAGAAAAGGAACACAATGAAGCTTACCTATCACCTGAACTTTCCAATACGGTTTATGAGTAGCTTTATCGGTAGTTGCCATACCTGAAAATCAAAGAATATACCCATGGAATCCATGGCTAACTAACTATCAAAATCAGCAAACAAAATCATCTTGAGAGAGTTTGCACATTCATAAAAGCATTACCATGATATATAGAAGGGTAAATAAAAAGAAAACTTACCATTCCTTTTTTCCCTTACTGCTGCAAGTGAACCAGCAGCAGCAAAATCTTGTATGCAACCTGGAAATTGAGAAATGGGAGGAGTCGGGGAATGGTGTGAAATCAAACATGTTAATAGGTGTACCACGATAAAAAAAAACGCACACTGTTAAACATTGTATTTTCACTCTCTTCACACTCATTGAATCACATCTCTTCATTCTAACATTTCCATTTACCATCGAGGAAAGTACTTTTATGGCTATATAAAATCAATCCAAGAGTCCATTATGACCAATATAAGCTATGAGAAGAGACAGATATAGCACACGGTCACCTGTTTATGGTCTGAAAATCTGTCAAACTTCAGCTCATGCTTTGACTGCTTCTGACGTAAGGACTCTGCAATGTCAATGTACCTGAACGTTAGGTTTCATTATGCTATGACTCAAAGGATGAATAGAAACAACAAGACTGTTTGGCTTTCTTTTCAATGCAAAAGTCTTTCCATTCTTAGGAGTCAAGTTCTAAGATCGATATGATAAGGTTTAGAGATTGAATATGCACAGAGAATAACAGAAGCATAGAATACAAACGGAAACGATTGAAGAAATTAAGCATCACAAAAGAGAAAGTCCAGCTGACAAAAATTTGAGAGCAATAACAATTAGACCAAAAGTGAAGCATATATGCAAAAACCATGGATTTAACAAGCCCTAATAATCACTATGGACAAACACAGCAAATGGTGGATTAGAACCCCCAACAATAATAGTTGGTATATTCAATCTGTGGTGTATTCATACTCTGTATCCACTAACAAAAGAAAAGTGACGTCTAAAAGGAGTTTCAGCTACCAAGTAGAAACGAAACACACAAACAGCTGATCTGTAACAGTTTAATAACTATAAACAAAGGAAGTAATATGCCCTGTGTCTACAAAGATCTTGTTGGCTTGATTAAGGACAATGGGTTCGGTAATACATTAGTCAGAGCTATTAAAAGTTCATTTCTGAGAGTAGCACTTTTCTTCCGCATCTATGGCCTCTAAATTATATATACTTCTAGTTTGAATGGATACACTCTGAAACTCCATCACCCCCACAACAAGTATGAGCAGACGGGCTACTAGACAGAATTAAATGAGAGATGCATTCTAATTCTAAAATTTGGAATTGAATTGAGAAAACAGAAGATGATTCCCTAACTAATGGACGTTTGCTAAGAGCTAATAGAAAACCTATCCGCAGTTAGAAAGGTCGAATTAGGCCCAAACTAAAAACCCCCAATTTTGATTTCAACCCCTAGCACTAGCCCTAATATGGAATTTCAACCCGTAATCCACTAGATATTGAAGAATTCGATATTAGAACATAGAAAGATGAAGAGGCCGGGAGTAGCGAACCTGTAGAGTTCCTTTAACATTTGGTACTCGGTAGGGGAAACTGAGGATGGAAGGAGTCGGAGGCCTCCACCAGGGAAGAAGTCCACCTCGTCAACGAATTTCACAAATAGATCGAGGGAGTTGCAGATTGAAATCCTTGGCATGCTGAATCTCCAACCATCGCCAGCAGATCTTTCTTTGAATTCCAGAGAGTCATGCTGGAAGCAGCAGGAGGGAAGCCATTCGAAGCAGCAAACCACATCGATTTTCCGGGAATTGCATGCGGATTGCGGAGGAACTGGAGGATGGCAATTGTTTCGTTTGAATTGGGCGAATCTGAAAGGCATTTTCTTCAATTCTTAAAATTTGTTCGACGTAGACGTCGAGGCAGGGGAGCGTGGCAGCGGGGAGATTCCCATGGAGGTCGCTGCCGAGGTTGCGAGGACGGTACATACTATAGAGTAACTTGTAGATCTTAAAGAGTTATGCGAAATGAAAAAAAATTCACGGCGTTCGGATTTCGGAGCACAAAGTTATGGCCGCCCAAAGTTTGACGAAATCGAAAAAAGGCTCGTTCGGGGTAGCAAATGACGTTTTTTCGAGACGAAGGCGGTACAAAACCGCCTATTGTGGCTTGCAAGATCTCAAAAATTTATTCGGATTCAAAAAAAAATCGCTACGATCGGATACCAGAGTGCAAAGTTACGTTCGTTTGAAGTCGGCCGAAGTTAAGAGTTTATCGGAAAAAAAAAATTCGACCAAACCGCTGGGTGGGGTGGCGGTTTGGCCCAAAACCGCCGCCCCACCCAGCGGTTTTCATAACCGCCCCGTAGCCCAGCGGTTTGCATCGAAAACTGCAGGGTGGGGTGGCGGTTTTGAAAAAGAGTGGTATTTTTGGAATATTTTGGGGTTGGGTGGTATTTTTGGAATTTTTTTTAAAACAGTGGTACTTTTGGATTTTTTCCGAAAGTGATCTGATAGAGCACAATATAACTCGTCCCTCCAATGAAAGGAGTACGATATCACTGGGCACTTTGATGGATAGTGTTTTGAAGTAGTTGGTCGACCCCAACTCCAGTGATTAGTTTTTCGAGCTTAATCTAAATAAACATGTCTAAAATTGATGGAAATATGGATCAATAACAGTCATGTCACATCTATGACTAAATCTCATAACGATAACCAATGACACGAGATTCATACTACAAAACATGTTCACATAAGAGAAGACGGATGAGTACTTTTCTCCCTTATTAATTAGGTGGCATTTGTGTGTTGCTACTTGCTAGCCGTTAATCACTATATTTGAACTTAGAGTTACTGTCGTGAAACCTGGGGCGGATGAGTAGAGCTATGGGGAAATGAATGAAACACCTAAAGGTGAATGAAGGAAAGTTAACTAATCCTAGTGGACACATGAATCCTTATATGTTTGGGATTACTAAGGAATGGTAACGAGATTCGGACTACTAAGCCAATGTTTGGAGGTTGAAGGTTGAGATTTTTTAAATTTGGGTCGTTTGTTTGAGTCATTTGTAGGAGTCATTTGTTACCAAATGACTCGTTTGCTAAAGAAATAACGCATGAGTTATTTTGTCCATACGAAAGTCCCAAATTCCTTCTTTTTGCCCAAGATTGACAATCTTTCGAAATGAAATATTATAGTTCTCCCATCAAAATTCAAATAAATGTATTATGGTTTAAAATTAAACAAAAAAGACGAAGTTTCAATGTATTTATCTAAATACATCCCCCAGAATAACATTCAAACCATCCCTAAGTTGCATAGGTGTTTATTGTCAATCCTAATGTATTAGGACCCAATATTGATTGAAAGAAGTTTTCATACTCCATATGCATTACTGTGATTGGCGTACTGTTTCGTTGGCGAAACTCGCGTGTTCAATGCGCACCGTTTTCAAGTAAACACAAACACAAAGTCAACACAATCGTCAAATATCCGCCGCCGAATGTCGGCGCCGTTGATTTGATTGATTAAACAGAAACCAAGACGACCGTCAAATATCCACCGCCGGCGTCGGCGATGTTTATTTGATCGATGCACTTTTGACTTCTAACCAGAACAACCGTTACTTGGTTCACCACCTCTCCAAACTACGTTCGAACGAGGGTGTTCAACGAGAAACGAGAAACCAAACTGGGAGTGTTCTAAGTTACGTTACCTCTACTCCTATGGAGGTTCCTCTGGAGAGCTCCGCAACTACGACTACAAGCTAAGATCTACGACTCTGCAAAGGAGTTCTTTGACAGAGCGGTTCTACGAAACTAGAGAGAAAAACTGATAATTCTGCGACGGTGCAGTTTGAGATTTGATTTTGCCGTCTTCAGCTTCTCTCTCTTCCCAATCTTTATACCCCGCTCTTGTCCCCGTAGTCGTAGCAACTGCCTTCGCGCCTTTGTCTCCCACGTTCTTCATTCCTGTCAACTGTGCGGGTAACTTCCTCCTTGTTGCGTAACTCCCACGAGTGCGAAACCGCTCTGCTACGCAGCAACCTGGCATAACAACATTGGGCCACCCTTGTAGTTATCCACCCGGGTTCGATGATCCACCCCGACTCCTCAAGCCAAACTACATTCATCCTTGTTCATAAAACGGCGGCGTATCTCAAACAACACCGCAACGCTGAGCTCGCAGCCTTGCAACATCGATGCACTCACAATATCAATGCCAATTTCGATGGTTACTCATGGCTTACAACATTGCTCTCTAAACAACTTAGCTCTTAGTATCCCGGCATCGTCGAATTCCCACCATTGATGCCCAACCTTATTGAATTCACGGTGTTATTGAGTTTCTCAACACTGAACTAAAGCTCATCAACGTCTTCACGACATTGTTAAACTCTTGCAACATTGTCTTTGACTAAACAATTTCGTTTTTTCCTAGTACCGCAGTGTTGTTTTTACCTTCTGCGGCGTCGTATTCAACTAAAAGACACCGTCTAAAATAATTATAAAATACTAATTAATTAAAACAGCCATCATTGTTAACTCGCCGCCAAACTCTCACCCCTCAGCACCATTCTTAGTTAACAACATCATTTTCTAGTCTCGCGATGTCGTTGAGCTTTGAGCTTCGCGACACTGCTTTAACTTTAACACTGTCGTTTTAACTATTGAGACATCGTTGGGCCTATTTGCGGTATCGAATTCTAATCCGCGGTATCATTTTTTTTCCTCTTGCGGCATCGTTTTCAACTAAACGACACCGTCCTAAATAATCATTAAAAAATATTAATTAATCCGGCCATCATTAGTCAAACTCGTGTGTTGACCAACGACATCATAGGCGCCAAAACGGCTACGTTTGCTTTTCCTTTCGCGACATTGTTTTTCATTTTAAACACTGTTGTTTGCTAATACAGCGGTACCGTTGGGCTTACTCGCGGTACCGTTCTTAATTAAACGACACCGCTAACATAGTAAAAAAATACCAACTTATTGAACCGCCGAGAGTTTGCACGTTTGGGCTGGGCGGATTTTTTGGCCAATCACTAACACAATGTGGTTTCTAATTAATCGGCACCGGTTATCAAGGCCACTTGCGGTATCGTTTTTAAATCCGCGGTACAGTTTTAATTCTCCGCGATGCCGCTTGTCTTCATGAGGTATCGCTTTAAATGCCGAGACTAATTAATGCGGCATTTATTTATTCCAAAATAATTTTAGGTGTCAACACGTACTAATTATGGCCTAGGGTAAAGGCATAATCATATATTGTTAAATTTGTGCATAATCATATTGTCTTTTGATTTCGAATGAGATAAAATATGATGGCTAAGATTAAATGAATATTTTAATCCCTACTTAATTTTATAGAAAATCCTACTTATATTAATTGATCTGTATCTCAATCGTTTTACTTAGATTTCCAAGTTTTTGTACAAAAGATCGAAATGGATAATACATCAAAAAAAAATTTTAAGCTGGTCATTTGCCGGATGCATTCGGATCCATATAGGCTAACTGCAACATGGAGGCTGCATTTTCGGATTTTCAGGCTAAAATGACATTTTAGCTCCCCCTCGAAAACATAAATTGCAGCAACTTAGGAGGCTCTGATTTTTTGTTTAGTGCTTAGTGATGCTAACTTATATTTTTAATTAAACTTTTATGTATTTGTTCAGGATAACTCGATACGAACATTTCGATAAAATTTGAAGAATTTGTGAGATAATTATAGCACCCTATCGGCCCCGTCTTCTCCTGGTGGTCCTCATTATTATAGCCCTTGATCAGTCGCATAACTAGGAATTCAATCAACGTGAGTATGAAATGAAAATCAAAATATATAAAAAAAAATTCTTAATATTTAAATGACTCACTATGAGTTTCATAGTTTTCCGTCTGATTTCGTTTAATGATGAAGAATTCAACACTAAAATTAGGAATTAGTAAAATCTGAATAAACTACATAATTTATGTAAAATTCAGAGTTATTTATATAATATGAAATGTTAATGTGTTCGACAAAATGCTCTATAATCTATGGGAGGACAAGTAAAACTAGTTAACATAATATGTTTGGTTTGAGTATTATGGATTATCTACAAATATTGTTATGTTTTGTGTCTTAATCTCGAACTTAAGTGGATCCTGAACCACATTCTATAATAAGCTGCCTTCGCTGCTTCCCCCAATTTAGCCTCCAAAATCAGACTATTTTAATCCAAAAAATTGATTTTAGCCATTTAACCTTTGATGGAAAATATTTTTTAAAGGTAAAAGACATTTTAGCCTTTTTGCCCTTGAATCTTATCTCCCTTACGTAGTTATATATTGCACCTGCATGATATGATAGGTTTTTATTAGTAAAGAAAACCAATCGGTTTACAAATTAAACATGTGGACATGTCGGGCGCAAGCAAGACGCCACTCAGCTGACGTATGCGTCGTTTGCTTAAATTATGTCATCGCGTGTGGGTCAGCCTCGGTCGCGTCATGGTTCCGAACCGCGGCAGTGAGGTGTCCAGTAGACAAAAGCCCTCTACGCGGGCTCGCAAAACACAGAGAGAGCGAGCATATGCGACCATTCATTCCATTCCATTCCATTTATGACGAGAAGAAACCCAACGCGACGTTCCCACTTCCCAGTCTGTTCTTGTTGCTTTGTAATAGGTTGTTTGTTTGTTTTCCTGTCTGTGCCTCTCGGAAACAAAGGTCCAGATCGTCCACTGGGCCTTTTCTTAGAATCCAACTAGAACCGCAAAGATGCTATCCTCATGGTCGGTGAGCTGATGATTTAACTCCCACTCCTAGCGGATTTTGACCATAAAACGCACCCACTCGTTCTCAAATGGATTGATAATTTTCAACCCATCACTCA